TTTATGATGAACCTGTAGATCGTCTTCTGTCACCAATCAAAGGCTATCACGAAAAACCACTAGTTTCACTTGCGGAAGCTATTGCACCCGTTTTGAGTTTTTTTAATGAAATCGAAGACTACATTTTTGTTGCAATGCATAATTGTCAAAATCCGACTGAAGGATTAACGCAATATGAATCAGCTGCAATTCATCTTTATACAATGCAATTTGATAGTGGACCAAGTTTATATCAATTACTTAATGAATCATTGCGGGCTGAAAATCGTGGAAAATTGATACCATGGTTCACATTTCTGAAGTTATTTTTTACTGCTTTGTACAAATTACCATCATACAATGGAATAGTATGGCGTGGTATTCGTGATGTTAATTTAAGTTCAAAATATAAAGCTGGTAAAAAATTTGTTTGGTGGGGAGTAAGTTCATGGACTACTCATATTGAAGTACTGGAATCAGAGCAATTTTTGGGTAAACATGGACAGCGTACACTCTTTTCAATTGAATGCATCAATGGAAAATCGGTTGCAAAACATTCTTATTTCAAAAATTCTGAAAAAGAAATTATTCTCATGCCTGGTTCTTATTTTGAAGTGATAGGCCAATTAAATCCTGTACCAGAACTGTGCATTATTCAGTTAAAAGAAATCACGCCGCCCATTCCATTTGTGAAATCACCGCTTTCTAAGCCGGCCGAAAGCGCTTCAAATAAAATGTCACCGATGACAGAAGGTCTGAGAGATTTTATATTTCTTATTATCGATTTTTTTCTCATAGTTTATCCTTTTATCAATTGAGAGTATGGATGTTGAATAAAGTAAACCCATAGAATAAAAATATAGCAAAAAATGATGTACATTACATCATTTTAATGAATACTACTGCAGAAAAAAACTATGTCCAAAGTGAAAAGATATTATGTTCAATCATGAAACGGACACTTCTTTTCATGTGTTGCAAATTCATGCATGGTTTATGAAACTTTCATTAGATAAAAATGGTTAAATTAACATAATGCTACGAAAATCATTAAAAACGCATTAAGATATCTAGAAAATAATAAAAAAAACTAGAATGAGTGAACTTCGAAGAGTTACGTGATAAACTTGCAAAGTTCTTTGTACACAAGGTCTATATAAATTGGTAGTTGTGTAGAGTACAAGAAATAAAGAAAAATTACGTTCTTCTCAAGAAGATAAACGAAAGCACGTTATCTGTAGACCATCTAAATCAATAATTTCCATACTGTATTTTACGTTAATGTCATGAATGCAAGCCATTTGTTGTGGATGAATTAGTAATGAAAATTATGTGATGATTTTGATTAATTCAGAATAATCAATGTAGTGAGACAACAATCATGAAACAGAATTAAACTATTACAGTAACTTTCATTTTTCGGAATTAGACAAATAACTAAAATGAAAATGATGTGAAAATAAGGAAATTATTCTATATGATTTCAGTTTTTAGTGAAATACTCAAAGCTATAGAATTATTTTGATGAAAAGTTTTAAAATAACTATATCAATGAATTTTTTTTGTGTTTTTATTCCCAGAGTAACACTCACACCTTACTCCATTTTAAATAGGTTTCATATGTGAATCAGATAGTTCACCAATATTAATGTCGAGAACTGATGGTCCAGTGGTAATACCTGTCCTTAATTTATCACGAACTTATGTATTTACTAAAAATCCCGTACATCAATCGAAAAGTAATGAAAACTTTTATCTTTCAACTGTGTCACGGCATTCAAAAAATTCATGATTTCGTATTAATATAACAGCTAACAAAACTTTTCAAAAAAGTATTCTTTTGTTTGTTTTTGTATTCTCTGTTCTATTTCTAGCTTTAAATATCTTTTTCGATGATGATAGCGATTCACTTATGTTGTTTTACTCTAGAACTGAAAAAGAATACCGGTTTCTCTTTATTTATTTTTCATTTTATTCCATTAGCCTGTGACGATCAAGAATCAATAGATTCTTCTTCTTTTTTGTTAAATTAATGTTGTAATACGCTTAACGAACAGTGATCAAATATTTCTCTTTGCTTTTTGTTTTCCTTGTTCTGTTGTATCAAGCATATAGGAATTAGGCCATTTAAATTTTTCTGCTACATGTACAATAAGAATGTGGCTGTGGGTGTGGGTGTTGGTAAAGGAAAGACTACCACTCATCCACACCCACAGCCGCACCCATCCACTCGGTACCCACACCCACACACACACCCCTCAAGATTTAGAAGAAATATCCTATGTGCACGATGGAGCTTCGGCTCATTATGCTCAATCTGTCCAGCACGATCTCCAAATCTCATACCAACTGATTGTTTTTCATGGGCTGTGATCAAATACTGTGTGTATGCAATGAAGCCTCAAAATCTCCAAGCAGTAAAAGATGCTATAATCACCGAAATGCAAAGCTTACCAGTGAAATTTTGATGAAAGGCTTGGTGATGGGCACATGAGAGGCTTCAACTTTGCAATGACTTAGAAAGCAAACATATTGAATAATTTTTGTGGAAAAGTTCATAATACAAATACTTCAAAAAGTCATAAAGTTGTACGTTATTTTCTTTGTCGAAACTCCTAATAAATGTCTTGTTGGAATTCACAAGTATTTCCTTCTTGTCAGTCATTCTGTATTTGAATGCTCTTGGACTAGTTACTATATCCAAATATCGTTCATATGCCGCATCCTTTACTTATATAACCTAGTATATACAGTATAAATATAAAATCTGCCCGACGATCTATAAGATAGAAACTGAAAGAAATACTGTTTTTCTTTACTTTTGGGACGCCTAGTATGTTTGCTTGTGTCAGTTTTTACCATGATTCTTGATAGGAGAAGATCAATAAAAGTAACATTTATTCAACTATTCTACACAGTTTGTAACCAAAGAGACTTATTTTCATTATCAATCATTTCTCACATGAATTCTTCGTTGGTTTTTACCTTTGATGTCCATAACGTTGAGATACAAGCAAACCATTCACATCGACGACGATGATGCCCAGGATATATTTTCAGCACATTTGTGCAATGAAATGATGTAATTTTCGAATTATTCATTGACCCTTTTTTTCTGTTTCTTTAAGTAAATATTCCATTCGAAATAAAATGTTTTTAAAGCACAGAAAGAATAAATAGGAAGGTCGTGCATTCTTATCTTTCTGTAAAGAGTCTACATTTCTCACTCTGACTCTAGAAGAGAAGAATAATAAAACTGAGTTTGGTGGAAAAAAATCAGCTAAAACGAGATTATCTTAAAACTAATATTTCTTTATTTCATGCAATGTCTATGGTAATGATTGTTCTCACGATGGTATGTTAAATTTGGAGAGAAAGTCTTTTATGTATTTGTTATTATTGAAATTTAGAAATCCGTTGTGTCGATTCTGAATTTAGTTAGTGCTGTCGAAGTAAATAAACTCAATTAGAAAATCGGAAACTTATCTAGTATATTCAGGGGCGTAAGTCACCACTGAAGGCAGGGGGGGGGGGGTGGGGGCGTAGTTTTTTGAATTGTTTTTTTTTTGGGAGAGATTAAAAAATTTTTTGACTGAGATAGTGCGTGTCTAAAAAATGGATTTCTAGTTGTTTGCTATGTGTTTTTTGTGTAGACAATACAGTTCAGGAACCCATGTAAAAATTTTGGATTGAGCATCAGATTCAAAGTCGATTATAATGGCACTATTATAACCTGATTTTAATCAGATTTTTCAGCTTTAAATGACAAATTTTATTTGATTTTCATTTTTTCTATCAATTTTAATCGATTACCAACAATGACTATAATAATAGCTTCAAAACAATCAAAATAAAATAAAATTTGTCATTTAAAGGTGAAAAAATCTGATTTGAATCAGGGTATAATAGTGCCATTATAATCAATTTTTAACCTGATTCTTAATCCAAATTTTTTACATGGGAAACACTACAGCAGAAAAGAATCATGGATTAGAAAGAAGAGAGACGCACACAACGTTGTAATGACAGAAAAATGGATGAGTACAAAAGGGATACACGGTTGTTCCGAGGTATTCCAGATTGAGAGACCCATCTAAATCTTTTTCAGCACTGTAATCTTCTTTTGCTCATTGTCTTACAAAAATACTTTCAACGTAGAAACATCTTATAATATGAAAAAAATTTGGTTTTTCTACCTTCCTTCATTTTGAGGAAGAAAACTGTTATCATATGGAGTCAAAAGTGTCTCTAGACGTGTCTAACGCCGAAGGCGTTTACGTCAGCGACTATTGATGAAAATGATACTTTATAGAACGCAGCATTATTAGAAACTTCCTAGAAATAGGTTTTAAGCCTTCAAAATATAGTTAGGCTTATGCAATTGATACCATTTATGCAAGCGAAATTGCTTTGTGGGCAGGTCTAAATTCTATTTCAGTGTTGTTGCGTTCCAAAACCTAAATGGTCGTTGAATGAAACCATTGATATTTGTTTAAAAGTTTTTGCCGCCGAAGGCGGTCGCACTCGTAACCATTTAAAAAGTAAAACTCTTATGCGTAAAAAGTACTATAAGGAAATGCTTAAATGATATATCAGACTTCTTAGGTCAGTTGTAATTGTAAAGTTCTCACTTTTCGCGAAGCGAAAATTTTTTTTTCACTTTATATCTTGTTTGATATAGACTTGTTTAATTCAGCACTTTTTGTCAAAGAGTTAGTAAGCTTCTACTTCATGTCTGTTTTCGCCTTTTTTACTAGTGAAAATAACGAAAACTTTCAAGTATTGTGGGAGGGGGGCGTACTACATAAGCAATTTTTCAAACCAGGGGAGCGTTGCCATAGAGAATTTCAAAAGCAGGGGGGCGTAACGCCCCACGCCCCCCCCCCACCCCCCTATTTACGCTCCTGCCAACGCCCACACCCCACATCCACACCCAAAATGTTCTTTTTCTTGACTTATTAAATAACAAACAGTCGGATTGTAAAGACATTGTTTATAAAACAGAAAAAAGAAGATTTCGTTCACGTCCAAAATTTTTTTAATGAAACATTCTTTTTCGAATTTTTTTCCATAACCTAAAACAAACATTTATTTAAATAATAATCCATTTAAAATCTCAGATATATACCTTTGCGACAGCTAATTCAAAATCTTCTTGTGTTACATGTACACGTCGTTCTCGAAGTGCATACATTCCTGCTTCAGTACAAACACTCTACAAAAAACAAAATCAATATCTTCTTATAAATCTTTGTTTAACATACTTTAACTTCAGCACCAGATG